GATGGATGGGTTTATAAATGGCAATTTGATAACACCTTGTATCAGTCCTGAAGGAAAAGAGTCAGAGGTGGCAGAAAGTCAGCCTCTTCTATGTTTGAAGGTTTAACAGTCATAAAACTGTTTTAGAAAGACTCGGTTCTCTTGTCCGTACATTATAAGACAAACATGTTCATGTTTCATCCACTTAGACATTTCATCTGGAGGGTTTTTATGAGGAGTACAGAAAGAGAAATGTTAAAATCTGTAAGTTTTAATCTCTGTTGTTGTCAAAGGGAAGCCCTTCAACAAACGTTTCACACTGACATCCATTTCCTCAGTGTGAAATGGGCTCTTCAGTCGTCTTAACTGGCTTACAGCCGTCCTCTTCTGTTTCAAAGACAAATCCTATTTTCAGCTCTCATCAGTCAGGAACAGACGCAAGGATGTCTCTGTTTCAATATCTCATTTAGCAACACGCACGCACAAGCACACACACACACACAGGAAGCCTGTTGCTGCAGCTGCATTTGGAGACAAATCCCTTTTTCTGCTTTGCCCTCTCAGACAAAAAGCACTCGTCTCATTTCCTAACCCTGCCTGTTGCACAAGATAAAAGAGGACTTTGTGTGTATATGTGTGTGTGAGATCAAGTGCCTTCATTTATGTTCTCCCTTTCCTCTCTTCTTTTTCTCTTGACCTCCTTTTATCCTCACTTCCTCTTTCATTTTCTGCTTTCTCAGGGCCAAATTTTGCTCAGTATTTGAACCGGACACAAATGCAGAGGCTGTGTGAACATGTGCAAAGTCAATGAAAACAGATCATCAGAGCAAGATGGACACAACTTCATTACTAGAATTTACTAAAGCTTGAGCAAAACTATACTACTAGTGCTGGTAATGCTTTAGATTACATCACATAAATGACAGTGTGTGTTTGGTAGTGTGGAGTATCACCTGGGTACCTATACCAGAACAAATATGTCTGGATGATATGTTCAACATGAATTATTGTAACTTAAATGAAGATCTGACCTCAAACAAATATATAGTACATACATCCCAAAGGGTTCTCTTCACCTTTCTTGCCAGGGTACAGGAGTAAATAACTTAGCAACATGGTCCACACTGAAAGAGCCATCACATTAAATCTGAAACGGCACCTTTTTCAGCACCTACGTGTGTGTGTGTGCACGCATGCCTCATTATTGACAGTGGGGTGTGAAATAAAGTCACACTGTAAATGGATGTAACTGAAGCAGGTAATTAACCATCGAGGCCCCTCTGCATCCCTCGGTACTGCAGGGATAGACAGATGGAGGACAGAGGAGAGAAGGACGAGAGGAAAGGATTTAAGGAGAGGAAATAAAAGTGTAAGGTTTGAGGAAGAGATGGAAGAAAGGGAGAAGAAAAAGAAAGGAGCAGACAAGAATGAATGAAAGCAAAAGAGAAAAAACCTAAAAAGAGAGGGGATTGACTCAATTATATAAAACTAGAAAGAAAAAGAAAAGAGAAGGAGAATGATGTAAAGATCAGGATGAGGGAGGAGGATGAAGGAGAGAAAGAAAAGAGGACAGAATGAAGACAAAGCAGTGGGGACGGAATGAGAAAATAAGAAAAGGACTGAGGAGAAAAATGAAGAATGATGTGGGAGCAAGGGAAAGAAAGAAGAAGAAAAGGAAAAGAGAGGAAATGACAGTTCAGTAAAACAAGACAGCACAAATGGTAGAAATGAACGAAAAACTGAAAAAAGAATAAGAAAGAGGAAAGCAATGGGAAGCTTGGAAGATGGGGAAGAAAGAAGATGAACAAAGACAAAGGGGACAGAAACAGAAAAAATGGAGAGAACATGAAAGAATAACAAATAATAAGTGGCAAAGAAAAAGACAAGAAAGAATATGATCCAGAAAAGGGGGAGTGAGGGAAAAGCCAAGGTGAAAGAAAAAAGGGAAGAGATAAAAGAACAGAAAAAGGAGAAGAGGAATTAAGGCTGGACAAAAATTCTGGGAGACATGGGGAAAGAAAAAAAAAAGGAAAACCAAAATTTAAAAATGTTTAAAAAGTATGAGAAAAGCAAAGGTGAAAAAGAGTGGGAATAAGAAGAGAAAACAAACAAAGTGAAAGGAAATAGGGCAATGAACAAGAAAATGAGAAGATAAAGAAAAGAAAAGGGAGGCACAAAAAGAGATGATGAAGAGAAGATCACAGTTAAATAAAAAGTCCGAAAGAAAGAATGAAACTCAGTCTGCTGCTGTTCCCACCAGATAGCATCTCTGTCATCAGCTTTCTCTCAGGTTTTCTCACATCAAATCTACTGCACATTACAATCAGACCTCCATTATCTGCCATTAACCAGGCAGGAAACTCTCTGCTTGCTCATGATATATATATACACCTTTTCCATGTCTTAAATGTTTAGTCTGACTGCTGCTACCTAAATGCAACACAATCAGAAGTATGTTTAAAAGTCTGTTTAGCCTAACGACTCATTCACTCCCAGCAGCAGAGGAAACAACTCGGATGCTGAAGGTCATCCATCACTGTGAGGGGAAAGATGCAATCACAGTATAAACTTTTTTTTTTTTTAAGAACAGACATTCACTGCTTCAAGTTAAGACAAAACTAAACGTATTTCCAAGAAAATGATGGAAAAGCTTATCATAGCTCTAAGTCCTCTAATCATATACCTTTAACAAGCTGCTGCGACATATTGCCATTAAAAGTAAACAAATCTGCAGGCTGGGTTATGCTAGAGAAAAAGTAGTCGCCATGACATTTATGGCATAATTGTTTAAACATGGCACAGTCTTGCCTGGAAGACATTTACAGAGTTGCACTCATTCCAGGTTTAAACAGCTGCTCTCTTCTTACAAGGAAGATCTGAAAATGTTTTATTCAGATTATTTAGGAGAAAGGGCTAAATGGCAAACATGTCTTGACATGATAAAAGCTAGAAAACCACTGATGGAAGGTGAAGAAGAAGAGCAGAAACTGAAATCGGTCATGGTGCTGGGTGAAACAGGTGGGTGGGGTTTACTGCATCAGAGGTAATGAGTTGATAGTGCCTTTAAATGATTTCCTCACACACTCACTCTCTCTCACCTTTATACAGACTCGCACAGACACACACACACACACACACACACATACACAGCCCTGCTATTTGACTTTCCATACAGTGGTTAATGGTTTGCACCTGTCCTGGTCTGTTCAGCTTTTTTCCAGCATATCCTTCATCTGTGCACCCATGCTGTGTGTGTGTGTGTGTGTGTGTATGAGACCAGATTCCTTTTTCCACTTCCTGTCCCCAGGATTAAGGACTAATGTTGGATTTCCCTAGATGTATGTAAACATCTGAATTTCATCCATAGGTCAAAGTTCACCAAATCTGACTGATGAAACTGTTTCACATCCAGAGGTGATGTTTAGTATTTGATCTTGCCGTCTTTCAGTACAAGCACAGGGGACGCAAAGCAAATGTTCACACTAATATACAGTATGTACATTATATTTAGAGGTGTCTCTATATTTTGTCCTGCCCAGCTACATACATGAGAGAGTCAGACACCTTTGGTTAAAAGTCATTTTGCATAACAATTTGAAGCCCTGCCTTGCCTGTCAGTGGGTCTTTCTGAAGTACTTCAGCCAGACCTGTTCCAAATTCATCAGACCAACAATTTCTACATCAAAAGGAAGTATATATATTATTTGGGGAATTTACAAACAAATGTTTCTCTTTTTTTTAAGCTATTTTGTGTTAAAGCAACCTACAGTAAGTCAAAAGAAATCATATTTTTTCAAATATGAGTAGATGGGGAGGTTATCCAAAGCTCTATCCTTTGCTTTCCTTCTCAAGCCACTAAAGGAAAATACAAAAATCGAGGAGCCGCTATTTAATCCTTTCCATAAACAAACAAGCAAAAAAAAGAGCAATACTTTTCTGTGATAGAGACAATATGTTCTGCTGATGCAGTGGGCCACACACATGATGTTTCAGCTTGGTTAGATCAAGCATTTTGCATTTTATCATGAGAGGAGATAATAAAACATGCCACATAATAAGCCAGAATAAATAAACAAACTAAACATTTTATAGTTCAGACTCTTTTTCATATTTTTACAATAACTAACTCTTGTTTTGAAATGGTAACTGCTGGTCCTGTGTGAGGCAGGGTTATCACGGGTCAGCTGCACTCAGCTGCACTTAAAATGTGAACACAGCAAACGTGGAGATTTAGAGGACGCCACACTGCTGTAATGGAAAAATTATATGAGAGGGAAAGCTCTGTGTGTGTGTGTGTGTGTGTGTGTGTGTGTGTCTCAGGAGGGAGGCAGCAGCATAAAGATGCCAGATGCTACTCTGTCAGGCAGGTTAGGTGTGCGAGAGAGAGTGAGAAAGTGAGACGGGTGAGAAGAGACAGAAGGGGGAAGAGACTGGAGACAAGGGTTGGAAAAATGATGTGTGTGTGTGTGTGCATGTGCGTGTGTTGGGGGGCAGATGGTGAGCGAGTTAACTGAGAGAGGCAGGTTTATATTACATTCTCAAAACAACTAGTCATGTTTACTGGACAAGTGTGTGCTACTTCTTTCAGCTGTTTGGATAATCAGGTCATTATCGCCATCTAGTGATTTGACTGTGATACTGGAAAAACAAATCAGATCCACAGTCTGCTCATCTGTTGACAGCCTCCATTTTGCAAAGGCTGCGCTCCCTCTAGTTTTTTTTATATCGCTGTCAGGGGGAACTACTATTTTACCAGTCATTCTTAGCTGTTGTACCACCACACTGCACTCTAAGAAGAGGTTTGGGTTATATTCTATTTAGTGTTTTTTGTTTCATTTTGACTGGATGCAGACATCATTTGCCAGGCCTTCAGTCTTTCCACTAGGCTATTATTAATTTATAGTCTTTATTGTAATGTCTGTTTACAATCAGGTGAGAAATTACAGAACAAACCCGAAAAAACAAGTGGACAGCACCCCCCATCCATCGGACATAAGACAAACCCGAAAAAACAAGTGGTCTCTTCCAGGGTGACAGCACCCCCCATCCATCGGACATAAGGGGTCAGTGAAAGGTTTGATGAGTATGCAAATTATGTGAATCATATGCTTTTGGCCTTCAAAGTCAACAGATCTCAACCCAGTTGAACATCTGGGATATTTTGGAGCAACGTGTCAGACAGTTGCTCTACTTCCATCATCAAAACACGAGGGAATATCTTTTTGGAAGAATGGTGTTCATCCCTCCAGTAGAGTTCATGGAGAGTCAATGGCTAAGTGCACTGATGCTGTTCTGGTGGCACATGGTGGCCCAGCTCCTTACTGAGACACTTCATGTTGGTTTGTCCTTTCATTTGTCAGCCGTCTGTATGTATCCATGGACGTCAGTCATTGAAAGAGATAAAAATATACATATAAAATTTGAAACAGTGCCTTGCCTAACACTCTAAATGTGGCTCTCTCTCTCTTTCTCTCTCTCTCTCTCTCACACACACACACACACACACACAGTAAGTGCTGTGTCCATGCTGGAGGCAAAGGCAGACATTGTACTACTAGCCTTCTTTAGGACAGGTCGCTTCTCTAAAAGTGTCTAGCCACCGTGAAATTCATATTACTCCCATGGAGGGCGCACGCATGCACACACACACACACACACATTAAGTGTCCACAATCTTCTCTGTGTTCATAACATGCCTGTTCATATGGTATGAGACTAAAGAAAACATCTGATTTGGGGCCTTTTTCAGTTTAGTTAGTGCAAAAATGAAAAATGTGTAGAATATTTTCAATCTCCACACATGACAGCAAACCAACAATTACTTGCATATCATAAATACTTCATACATTTAAAATACTACTTCACAAATGTATTGACTATTAGAGTAATTGTGTAAGGTCACTGTGACCTCATTAGCTGGCAGAGTCGCAGTGTAAACCAGGAATACTACTGTATCATTGGCAGTGGTGGAAGAAGTACTCAAATGTAAAGGTATTTCATTCAGAATCTAAGTATAAAAGTATTATTAGTAGAATGTACTTAGACAATAAAAAGTTAAAGCAGTCATTATGCAGTCAGTGTTGTCAGTACTGAACGCTTATTGATTTATTAGGCTACTACTGATGCATTTACGTACACAAGCAGCAATTTAATGCTACTAGTCCAGATGGAGAAAATGCTAATTGTTTATTACAGTGTTTGGCAGTTTAATCAGTAGCAATGCATCACATTTCTTTATGGAGGTATCAAATCATTAGTATGTAAAACTGTAAAAGCCCTGCACACCCACAGTCCACCCACACAGGCGTTTTCACTCGTGTTGCCTGATTGACACCTCCGTCACACTGCTGTTGAGGCCATTTTCTACTGTGTTCAGGTAACTTACACTGTACCCATCATTTGGTTTGGTCAAACCACATCCGACTAGAGGGCCACCCAGCCAACTGCTTGGGTGTGTAAAGTCATAGTAAACAGTTGTTATAAAAGTAAAAGTGACTATAGTTCTTGATGAAATATAGTCGAGTTGAAGTATAAAGTGGCATAAAATGAAAATACCAAAAAAAATGTATTTAATAAAAGTACTTGAGCAAATGTATTCACAGTAGTTACCTTCCACCACTAAAAATTATTTAACAATCATTCAAACATGGCTTCTGTTTTAATCACTGCTCAGTTTTAACTCGTTTATCATATTTAGCTTCATTTTAATGTATATAGTTGCCATATATCTATAATGTGCAAGTCTCAGAAATTCATTTACTTACTGATAGTTTGTTTATGTTATTGTTGCGATGATCACAAGATGCATTTTCCCACCTGGGACACAGAGGAATAGCATTTAGTTTAAAATGGAGAACTGTGTAGACAAAACATATCTCTGTAGTTCCCTTTGCACAAGAGGTGTTACAGTCAAGCAGGCACACATGTGTTAAACCACTGCCCAAAAACTCGAGTTATGCTGCTGATAGCTTGATACACAGTTCAGTCGCTCTCACCTTCGTACTTTGAGGACTATTTGGTTCAAAACAAACGTGTTGTCTGCTTCTGTGAAATATATATGAACACACTGTAACGTCAATAACAACAACAGTTACTGACAGGTGATTTGTGGCAGTGCCTCACCTGAATCTAATCAGTCGACTTCTTCTTCTTCTTCTTCTTCTTCGTTGAACAGGCGAATGGCCACCATAAGGAGCATTATCGCCCCCGACGGCTGCTTTACATACTGCTAAAATTATTAATATCAGTCACCTTTATTGCAGAAAAAATAAAAAAAAAGACAATAATCCTAATCTTCGAAGCAAAAATAAATGAATAAAAAATCTCTCTTATGTCTCTTATTTCCATATTTTGGGCGTTCAACAAAGGCATGTTCCACCGTCTATAACAGGCATCACATTTACCATTAGGATGTTTCCCAGTCAGGAGTTTCTGAAATCAGTGGGGTCAGGTTGAACCGAAATAGTTTTAGGGGCTGGAATAAATTATCAAGTAGGTACTTTACTCTCAGTTTGTGCTAGTTCATACACTCTTATCCACTATATTTCAGTGCGTAATAGTGTCTACTGTTTACTCCAATGGCCAACACCTACAGAGTAACATTGAAAATAATAAACAAAAGATAAAATCGGTATTAGGCTATAGTTTAAATTATAGTTAAGAGCCCCAACTCACCAAACTACAACAATAAAATTCTGCTTTATGTTAATTCATCGGAATAACCAGT